GACCGATATTGTCCGTTTTCGCATCTGACCTATCTCTGATGCAAAAATTAGGATTCGCAAAGTTGAAGCAAAATGGTTTTTTTTTTCTTTTTCGGCGCAGTAAATGATTTTCTTTGAAAATGCTGATATTTTGTGTGGAAGGTACCGGAAGGAGTGGACCGATATTGCCCATCTCCGAAATCGATCTAAGTTTGACAATAATATTACGATGTACCAAGTTTGGATCAAATCGGATACTTCCTTTGAGAGTTATCGTGCGCACCAGTCAGACAGACGGACGGACATCGCAAGATCGACTCCAAATGTCCTGAAACGGATTTCATCCAAAGAGACCTAGGGTCTAAAACAGTTATATCGATGAGGCGCGTGTCAAATGATATATACCCTCTGTAGCCATATGGCTGAGGATATAAAGAGTCGTGGCCGTACGCCTAATCTTAAAGTGGCAATATGAAATTTATACCATTGCAACTGCGGCATTCCGCTGTTAGTGTATTTGCATCACTAGACTTCAATTGTTGTTCCATAAAAACTTTTGAAATGTTGAATGAGAAAATATTTTACATTTCATATTTTCATAGAAAAAAAGAATTCAGCCTTTGGACATTGCCATACCAATCTAAATTCACATTGAAATGTTATCCTATAGTCTTTCTATCCAAAAATATTAGCCTTTCAGTGTTTTTCATTCTTATTTTACAGAATCTTCAAAGATGGACCTACCAAATTCTAGGCTAGGAAAGAGCGAAGAACTTAATAGACACTTTAAATGAAATACATGTCAATATTTGGTCTGTTTTTGGAACGGCAAGAATGTAAAAGTGTTTACTACGATAACCGATTTTCCCTTTATGATATCGGAAAAAATGCAAAACTAGTAGATTCTTGCAGGTTCTGGAACAGACCAAATGTTGATTACGATAAAACGCAACTATTACTCTGTTCCTGAATTGCAAGACTTTACTAGTTCTTTGATATTTTTCGATATCATAAAGCGAAAATCGGTTATCGTGGTAAATTAAACATACGTTTACAAACTCCTAAATAGTCGGGTTTGAGCCATCTTAGATCTGGGGAACTCTTGTGGCATTCTCAAATCAATTTTGCGTTTCCGACAAAAATCGCTAAAAATCGCACAAAAAATTAATAAAAAGTTATCAACATTATTTCTATCGTCAGATCTTTGCGACAAAATTACACACATCACAATAATTTTATTAACCCATAGTCCGGTGTGCAGATGGGTAGTATCGCTCCACTCCTTCTGGTACCTCCCCCACAAAGGGTCAACATTTTTAATTATACATGAAGCTCATACATCGCGAAATTAACATCCGATTCCATTAAGACTTAGTACATCTCAATAATTGCATCAACAGAAGACATGTTATAAAGATGGTAGAAATCGGACCATTTCTTCTGGTCCCTTCCCTACATAGGGTTCTAGGTTTTGAAAGTCAAAACGCCCAAAGAAAGTGATAAGCATCAAACTCCCCTCAAATTTCACACATCCAAATAGTTTTGCTAACGCAAGATCTGTTTTGAGGATGATATAAATCTACCAGCCCCTTTTGGTACCTCATCCACAAAGGGTCTCAATTTCCAATACGTATATCTATCATAACTTCCAAAACAAGTCGGTGATTCTTTACAACTTGCTATATCGAAATATTTCTCTTAACCAGAAATCTGATATGAATATGTAATTTATCATAATTTTGGATATGATTGTTCGACTTCCTTCAGATTTTGCCCATACCAATATTTTTCTGTATCTGTATTAGATGATGTATAAAAATTGAATACTTCGGCCCGCTATGTCTCATTTCTTATTCATATCATTCCACATTTTCCAAAAATTATCACATACATGAGGTATGAGGTATAAAGTGAAGGAAGTAGTCGATATGGTCCAAATCTGGCACGTTGTTATATTTATATAAGTCTTAGGTCAGTATTTCGGAACCTCCCCCATAGAGGGTCAATAGTTTGATTAATTATAACTCAAGGCTGGGGTTTACACCTGTCATCAAAACCGACTGATACTTTTTTTACTTGCTCGTGCTTAAATGGACACTATCTAATGGGGCAAAAGCATCATGCATTACAAACACAATGTTTTAAAAATAGTAGAATTAAAATGGGAACCTTGTGCAAACATATGTTTACAATTTTATTAAAAATTATTTCATTGCCAACATCTCATCCATGGTAATATTATAGAAGTAGAATATGACAACCTTTACATATCTAAAATATTAACGTATGTCAAGTGGCATATTTAAAAAAAAAATATAATAATATATTTTTCCGTCGTCCTACATCAAGTGGAAACAAAACACAGCGCAATCTTTTTGTTCTAGCTAAAGAAAAATTATATCAAAAAGCAAAAGAAACAGGTAGTCGCATCGACATAGCTGCTGGGACAATGGAATTGAACATTTTTAATGAAAAATTATTGACATTTGTAAAATATTTTGAAAAAATGCACATCATACACATAAGAATCTACCTATTATTGTTAATTTTTTTTTAATTTTGACATATCAATGTTCGCAATCATTGATGCATCTACCTGTATGCTTCTACCAAGTCTCATTGTAAAAATGAGAAGTACAGAGCGGGGAATGCTTATTTCAAACGACGTTACATTCTTAATTCTATCATAGATTAACATTTGTCATTCACAATTATGGAAGATTTGCAAATTTCATTGATATAGCCTTCATGTAGCGTTGGAAGCTTCGTTGCAAACATACATGCCATTGACCGAAATTCAGTCTAATTTAAATACATCTTCTTGTCGGTTTTGCTTTCTAAATGAATCATTACATTTTTGAAACACTTATTTTTTTTTAGAAAATTACACATGTCCGAGTGAATATCGAAAACTAGGCCGTGAATGGTAAGGGTTTTATTACTCATTTTATTTTTGAGTTTACATTGACTCTGTTCTCTAGTTTCATGTAAAACATTTAAAAGAATGTAGCGTTTTTTTAGCACTGACATGTTGACAACACCGAAAACAGCTAAATAGATATTAGAAATAGCACATTTATAGCTGTCACTGAGTTAAAGTTCAGAGAGGAAATGTGTGTGTGTGTGAGGGAGAAAATAAGTTTCCTCTTTTTGTTGTTTTTTGATTTTGCACGCTGTTTTCATTTGCTCTCAATGATATATTTTTCAATTATATTATAATTTTTTTTTTCTTTTGCCGGGTTAGTCAAACGTAACGTCTATTGCCATCTAATGTTTAAAACACTTTCGTTTACATATTTTGTAATGAGGATTTTCTTTTACATAAAAAATCCACATGTTTCTATGCGAACGACAGACAAAATCAAAGCCAACGAATGAAGGCAAAAAGGAAAGCAGGAAACTCCTTTACATAATTTGTACCTATACCTTAACCTGAAATTCCTTTGGCAAATAATTTTGAATATTTCATTGTGAAACAAAATTGAATACCTATTTCCCTCGGAATAAAAGTAATGCCGAAATTCCAATAAGAAAAATAAAAACACATTAATTTTTCCAAAATAAAAAGAAAATATCTTTTTTTTTTGATTACAGGATACTCAATAGCAAAAAAAAAAACATCAAATGAAATATAATGGTAAAATGACATACACCAAAAAGAAAAACGAAAAAGAACGATTAAAGAAGAAATCAAGAACACAAAATCTAAGAGAATAGACGAAAAATTGAGGAAATACTCGTCTTTTGGTTTCTTTCTTTCTTTTTTCGATGTCCTCTCGTCGTAGTCGTCGTTCTCGTCGTATCGTGTGTTGGTGGGTGATGATGATGATGATGGCGACTTCGACGTTGACGACGTTATGACGTAAACGTTCTGTCAATGTTATTTTATATTGATTGGCTTATTATTGTTGTCTGCAACTGCTGCTGCTCTTGATGGTCGTTTTTGAAGAAAAAAATATATATATTTCTATTTTTTGGTTTCCTTCTTTAATTTTGTTTTTTCATTGGCAATTTTATTTTTCTTTTTTGCATTGTACATTTACATGCTGGTTTTAAAGCTTGGGGCGGCTGACTTCTTCTGCTCCCAAAATCATTTGAAATTTTAAATACTTCAGCACAAAGTGAGAAAAACTCGATAAAATTTACACACACACGCACACGCTCAGTCGATGGATAATTTTTTTTTTTGCTTTTTGTTTAAAATATTTCCAAAATTTTAAAGGTTCACTATATAGGTATTTAGCTATTGAGACAGCATGGAAATGCGGCCAACGCAGGAAGAACAGCGGCACGAGAAATATAGCAGCACCAGCTCAAGAACAAAAAAAAAATCTAAAAGGAACACACCAAAAAAATATACACCACTGGCACAAGAAACACAGCACAAGAAAAATTGCACACACACTCGCACGCACACAAAATTCAAGAACGCTGATGACGGCTTCTGAATGGTGGCCAACAAAGGTGACTACTACTATGCTTTTCCCGTTTTTTTTTGTTATTTCTGTCAATGCTTGCGCTTGCTGGCTGGCTATGACGAACTTTTTGGCCTTTTCTGCCCTTTTTAACACACACAATAATATTCGGTCATCATTTAGAAAATTATTTTGGGTCTTGTTCCATTTGCTATTATCGAAGCAAGACTTTCAATTTAGCTTTTTAACTAACTTTTTTGTTGTGTACATTATTTGCATAATTTCACAATGCCTTAACAATATTTAATTTTTTCCAACTTTTTTCATAATTTTCTATATATTTTTGCAATTTTTCACGATAGAAAAAAAGAAGATTACAAACACCCGCACTTTAGCCTCTCTCACTGGCAATCTCTTGCCTTTTGTATTTTTCCTTTTTGATTTCCTTTTTGGAAAATTGACAGCTACTCTCTCTCAGCTACCTCACGCACTCGTTCGCTCTCTCTCGCTCGCTAGCTCGCTCACCCAATAATTTTACTCTTTTAAACAAAATATTTGACTATTCGTTGTTGTGTTACACGACGTCTTCTCTTCTCTTTTATTCACCTTTAAATAATTTTTCCTTCTTCTTCTTTCTCTTCTCTTTTCGTTTTCTTACTATTTTACTACACTACCACAACTTTTTTTGCAATTTTTTTCTTCTTGGAAAATATTTTTTCATCATCATTAAGTTTCATTTATTTGATGTCACTTTTTTCAACATTTTTCAGCTTCATTGGCTTCTTGGTTTGCTTCACGCACAATTATCATTGACTGCTGTTTGTCATTGAGGATTTCTTTCTGTTGGAATTGCTTAATTTAAGTAGATTTTTTTTTGCTTATTCCTTACTTAATTTAAATTGATTTTTATCCGAATACAGAAATTTCGTCTATTCTTCCATCGTCCATCTTTCGACTAATCACCAAAAATCGGTAACATTTTTTGGGGTTGGTAACTTGTTAAAATAGTTTTTGCTTTGATTGTGATATCGAAATGGAAAGTCGATTAGGACTTTGCGATTTTCAACAATCGATTAATCGAAAGTCGACTGGCTATATCAAAAAAAAAAAAATCAAGAAATGTGGTCCTCTCACCTAAGTCCCCAAAATTCCTGAATTTTCAATCGAATTGGTCTTAATTTTATTGCTGGAAATCACCAGCGTAAGATGTCCTTATTGAAGGTATTGTGAAGATTTTGCGAACATTTTTCAGCCGGTTATTCTGGGATCTTGTTTCTCAAAGGCTTACTTAAAACAAAACTTCATTCGAGGACTGCACAAGAACTAAAAGCGCCGAAAGTGGTTTAAAATCTCTATTAAGCTTCAGACAAAATAATTGACATTCGTTTTCCTAAGACTGGAACATATAACTGTTTTTACGTGCCTAGGAATGTCAAAAATATTACTATTTTTGTAAAATATGCCACTCGTCATATGGAAATATTTTAAAAAAGGAAATAATTTTTGTTTGAAAAAAATTACTAGGTCCAGTACTTCAGGAAAGAATTGCAAAATTCGATTTGGCAAATGAGTCTAGCCATGGTAGAAGAATACAGGTGGTCGCATCGACACAGCTGCTGGGACAATTAACTGTCAAACTGATTTTTTAATTTAAAATGTTGAATTAATAATAATTGAAATTTGTTAAAATTGTCGATATTCTTTATTCTTCCAACGTGAGTCTACATCTATCGTTTCGGCATTACATTCTTTGAGTAAATTCTTGTTCTACCTTGAGCAATGTTGCTTCCACTCTGTAATAATTTATAACCATTATAGAAGAATCCAGGTAGACGCATCGACACAGGTGATGGGACAATGATCTGTCAAACCAATTTTGGAATTGAAATTTTTGAATGAAAAATTGTTCGAATTTGTAAAAACTGTTGAAAACGCATATTATAATAACCTCCGAGTGACGACGTATACGAAAACATATAATAATCTACTTCTAATTGAAAAACATTTTACAATTTGTGACATCTCAATGTTACCCAGGCGTTGATGCATCTACCTGTATTCTTCGACCATGTTTATAACTTAAAATTACAACAAATACTTCAAATCATGGTAAAATTAAGAAGGTAAAGTCATTTCAAATAAGCATTTCCAGCTCGGCATTTTCTGTAACTTACCTTGTCAAATTTCACAGCATAAAAATAGGTTTCCAAATCTGATTTGTGTGTATACAATGTATTTGTAAATATAAATTTTGACAATGAGATGTTGTCAAAAGAATAATTTTGAATAATAATCATATGATTGCATGACTTTATCTTCTTAATTCTACAATGCTTCAAATTTTTATGTCAATTATATTTTTGTATGTCAAATTTGAGAAATTTGGACTAGCTGAAGATTATTTCAAATAATAAAATATATAAAAATTAAAAAAAAAATAAAATATAAAAAATTATTTGAAATTAAATACTGAATTCCTAGGTGTTATAAATTTAAATATATCTTTATTTTAGATTTTTTTAAAGTAATATTTTGGTAACATTTTCCAAACGATTTTTTCTTTAACTCAGTGACAACCCTGCAAATCCCGCTCATAAGAAATGAATGTGAGATAAATGCTGCCAGTCAAACCAAATCGAGAAAGAACTACAATTGGTGCTGCCAAGTGAACTGGCGCCATCTATTAGTTGGGAGAGTGAAACACCTATAGGCCGTTGTTACATAGTTTTGCGTTGATGCTGAGAAGTCCAATAATGCTTTGTTCCTTAAGCTGCTATCAGATGAAAAGGGTTTTACATACGTGTTGTCACTTTTTTATCCATGTGTACAATTAAATTGGCATAGCATGTGTTCATTCCTTTCCTTTTGATCCTCTGAGAGTAGTAGCTAATATCGTCATATAGTCTGCAACCATAGGTCTTTTAGAACGAGTTGAGCAGTAGAATTTAAGCTGTCTGGAAGATTAGTTGGAAATGGGATGTTAAAGTTGTGGTTGCATTCAAATGCTCTGACAAATTTGGTTAAAATGTCATGTCAACAATGTGAGACAAATGTCGTGGAAATCGTAGAGCAAAGATGCCAAAATGTGCCCAAGGTTGGTGAAAATGCCAATTCTCTTGCTAAAAGAAGGAGTAAAAGTACCAGAAATATGCCAGTCCATACCATTTATACTCCATTGTTAAACATCATCGTAGACATAGAACATTTTTGGTATGTTCCAGAACTGCAAGAATTTAGAAGTTTTATAACCGATAAACCCTTTATGATATCGAAGAAAATTGCAGACCTAGTAGATTCTTGCAATAGAACATTTACTGAGAAAGTTCATGAAATTGCACAAATTTAAAATTTTTCACAAAATTAGTTGAATATCTTAAAAAAATGTAAAAAAAGTTTTTCACCACTGAATTTAAAAACATGTATTTATTTGAGAGTCGTACAAAACATATCACCATAGTGGGGAAGTTGAATAGTATGTGTGTACGCTACGTTGAATTTCTGACAGTTCGAGTCAGAACCTGCAAAAATCTACTGTGTCTGTATTTTTTACCTTTGTATACGCTCCACCATACCATGGTACAATAAAAAGGTAAGGTAGAGCTATCAGCTGTTTACAATTTTTTTTCTAAGTGTGCCCGTCTTCTGCCAATATTGTGTATGTATTTATTGTTTTGAAAATGACAAAAAAAATATTTTCAAAACCAATCATTGGAAGACGTGTACATTGCGGCTCGCGGATTAAGGGTATTAGCCAGTTTAGCCATGAAATTGAAAGATTGAACAGATTAGATCATGTTTTTGAGAAACAATCCGTTAATTTCATTCATGTTTCGCGCTATTTGTTTCATTAAAATATGAGGGAAAGCATGAAAAAAAATGAAAAGTATTTGTTTCATAAAATTCTGAATGAGTCTGACAGAAAGCGGGCATAGCCTCAGGGCTGTATTTCTGTAGTTTTACGAAGCTGTTCTACCTCCTTGTTGTTCCACGCACCATACTATGGGGGAATATTAACTTTGTCATTCCGTTTGCAACTCCTCGAGACACTCATGTCAGTCCAAACAAAGTATATATATTCTTGATCTGCGTAAAATTCTAAGCCAATTTTGCAACGTCCGTCTGTCTGCAGTAATCACACTATCTTTCGAACGAATTAAGATAGAAAGCTAAAATTTTGCACATATGTGTATTTTGCCAGTAGGCAGGCTAAGCTTCTAAATGGGTCATGTCGGCCCACGTTTTCGTATAGCCCCCTCTTAATATTCTGTATTTTGATGATTTTAGGGATATTATTAACCGGAATTATTTCAAATTTTGCATTGGAAGATCTTAATGGGTACTACAACATATAACAATAAAATTACTTATCCAGGTCTACGTCTTCGTATAGCCCCCCATATAACGGAACCTCCCAATATTCGAAACTTTTAAGATTTTAACGACATTATTCACCGGAATTGTTTTAAATTTCGTATTCATAGGTTTCATGGATACTACAACCTATGAGAGGAAATTGCCTATGCAGGCCCACGTCTTCGTATAGCCCACATATAATAGTACTTGCCTTTTATGGGTATTTTGATGAAACAAGCTACATTATCCACCGGAGCTATTTCAAATTTTGTATTTGAAGTTCGGAATCAGTACAACAGCCAATTTAAATTTTTAAGTTCCTTCCAAATGGTGGAGGGTATTAATGGTTCGGCCCGGCCAAACTTAGTTGCTTTTTATTTGTTTGCTTTAAAAATTGTTTTCTAATTGTTGTCTATTTGTTTATTGAGATTTGCTGGGATATTTCTAGGGATACTTCAGTCGACATTTAAACCATGAAGTCGATTTATCGATTAGTCAACAGTCGACTTATATATTCCCTCCATGGGCTTGGCATTTTTCTCATTACTTTGTACGTTTCGTTCGGTTGTGTTGACTTTTTCTTATTTATTGTCTGCTCGGTGCGTGAAATTATTTGTTTTTGTGTTATTTTAGTTAGATTTGTTTATGAAATCATTAATTTTTTACCAAAAAACGAAAGATAATAATGTTCACTTATTATTTGCTATAAAAATTGATTGGAAAAAGTGTTAGAAAGGTAAGAAATTTGAGAAAACATGGAAAAGTGTTTCGAAAAGAAGAAAAAAACGCATGAATGAATAACATGCCAAGTGGTTATATTCTTGTTGTTGTTGTCGTGGTAGTGCTGGTGGTTGCGAGTGATCACTACGGGTGAGAATCTACGAAAACAGTATATAAAACAAAAAAATACCTTTGGTGTGTTGTTTTTGTGTTAGGTGTAAGTGTGAGTTGTGAGTATTGTGTTGTTGTTGTATAAAGTGGCTTATTGTTGTTGGATTTTGACAAATAAATGTCTCAACTTTGGGCGTTGACCATAAAAAAACGTATTATTTTATTGGAATTTGTTAAATCAAAACAAACTCCATTAAACATTGAAAAGTAAATAATGCTTTGTAAAAATATGACTTTAATCCTGTTTAAATGTGATGCTGTTTTGTTTTCAATACAAATAATTGTGGTAAATGACAACTCCTTGAACATGGTTGCCAGATACACTTGTTTTACTTGAACTGCTGGAATTGAAGTGTGTTGTTTTTTTTTTGGGAATTATCAAAATTACTATGGTTTCAAATTACACATGGAAAACTGAAGCAAGAACCAATATTAACCTTTCAACCCTGGCCCTTTTGTCGTTCTTATTTTATTTCAGCTCAACACTTAAGCCTGGCATATTGTCGTTAATTAACATCAATTATGAATCACACAATTTGGCTTCTTGTCTTGCCCGTCATGGCGTTGGGTCTCGTACTCCATACCCCGCTTGTAGTTGCACAACTGATACACAACGACAGCAACAACAACCGCCAATGTACAGATGTGCACTACTACTTTTTGGTTAAAGCCGTGTATGAGGGTGAATTTTTTTTCGCAAGACTCCCGCGGCTGGTGCTTATCTGTTTGGTTTTGCCATTTAGTTTTATATTACACCTTCTGTGTTTTGGCAGCTTGTTTCCATCTAACTTGCAACTTAAAAAAAAATGTTCTCTCCCCGGCAATAATGCAGTTTGTTCTGTGGGGTTTTTGTTGGTTTTTAAGTCCGTTCATTAACATTAAACGCCATAGCCCTTTGTTTGTGTGCCAATACCGTGTCATGTTGTACCTAACCGGGGACTGTTTCTTTTTTGTATGGAAATTGTTGCAATGTAGTGTAACTTACTTCACTGGCTGGCCGGCTGGCGGTCAAGTGCAGTTGATACCATAATCTCCTTTTTGTTAGTTTTGTTGTTATCTTTTTGTATCGTGCTGCATGGTTTCAAATAATTATAAGCCCAACGCCTGTTGCAGGCCGTTCACATTCGGCGCAAAAAGGCAACAAATATATGGGGCCGGGTTTTTTGGCAAAACCTGTCCACAACCACCGCAGAAATTATCCCAATTCTGTTGGTAGTGCATCCCATAATTGGTCCTCAAATGGATTTGCTCAGTTTTCTTGGGTTTTTAGTGAGGATGGTGAGGATGCTTCGAGATTTCAATTTGCTTGTAATTTCTGCGGGGTGTGTAGTCTGGGTGGCGATGGGATCAAAATGCCGGAAATGGTTTGATAGGGTTCGCTACGTACGAAATTAGGCTCGAACAGGGTTGAGTTAAAGAGTATTATAAAGGTAGTGAATGACAGGGTGACTCAGGCTAAGAAGTGACTAGGCAGCCCTATGATTGCTGAGTAGGTGGGAACCTACTACTACTCCGGGGTGAGCTGAAATGAGAATTCACAATAGAATAAAAAATGGCTATTGACAGTTGAAAAGAAAAAGGAATGAAAATTGAAAATGGCTCAGGAAAATGGTGTTTCGTGGAAAATGAGCGTCTGGCGGGATTCACTGAGAAGAGGGGTATAAAAGGCTGCGAGCATAAGAAAAGAAAGTTAAGAATAAGACGTTACCGGTGAAACTTAGCTAGAGAGCAGTGCAGAAGTGGAAAAATTTAATTTGTGTGTTGCGATTTTTTTTATTGTGAATATTCCGGTGGTGTATCAAGCTTTTTTGGAAGCACCGAAAATTGTCCGGTTTTGGTCAGCACAACGGCGGGAAATTGCCTTTTCTTTTTGGTAACGCAAGGTAGTGGCAAGTTGTCCACAGGAGAAAAAAAGCAAAAAAAAAAAAGTTACATTGAGGGTGTGGAGATTTGAATTGTAAACTGGCCAGCTGCAACTTTGAGCTTTTTGCTGTGCCGGTTATTGATCCCGCCCAGAACGCCGGCATTGTAAAAGGACCAGTCAACAAGTCCAGCTTCATTTGAGGGTTTGCCTGGCGTTCAAAATCTGTTTCCTCCGGAAAGAAGCGTAAACTGGAAGGAGAGATAAGAAGAATTAATCAATAACGTTATAAATCACTGCTCAGGTAAAAGGTGTCTTACCGTTGTGTTGTCCTTGATATATTTATATATATATGTGACGTCCATAAAATTTGCTGTCTCCTTTTTTGGAACTAAAAGAAAAGAAAAAAAGAGTTAATAATCATAAATTTCGAGAAAAAAAATATAATATTCAGTATAAAGATTTAGTAATAAGATAGGTTATAGTTCTTAGGATTTAAGTAATAATCAGTTTGTAAGGGAAAAATACCGCGTTTATTTTCAAAGGCTAGGAGGTGTTACAGTAAAATTATCTTGAGTCCTTGTGATTCGATCTGATAGTTTAGGCCGTGGAATTTTAGCGGCAATTAGGCCGGTTAAGAGAGCTCTTTTAGGTGGCTAGTAATTTCGTATAGACGCGTGAATATTGCGCGGGAAAAGCAAGGCAAAGGATAATATATTGGTTTCTACCGAGTAATTAAAGCCATAGATTTAAGAAAGCCCGGTATTATTCTTAATTTGTTTTTTTTTATACCATACAGTTTGTCAATTTTAGTGTAAGAAAAAAAATAGTAGAGAAAAAAATTAAGAAAATATTTAAAGCTAACTTATTTTTTTTAATAAAATTAAAAATGATTCTTTTGTAAACAGTAGATACTAATATGTGTTGCTAAGTTTGTATAGCTTGGGGGGAAGGTGGTATGAAGTAAGTGTGTGATTCGAAGCGTGTGGCTCAAGGGGATTCAGAGAAACGCAAGAAATGGAAATACTGGATCCAGGTAGGGTGGGCGAGTGTGGGATCGATCCACCGAGATCCCTGTATGATGACTCCTATTTTGTATATCGTAGAGTAGAGCAATTGTAGTAAAGTCCCCTTTCAATGTTAGTGTGTTGGATTCGATTGGCGGGTTGAGATCCCTAGCCCTGGGAGTCTCTGTGACAGTCGGATGGCCTAATCGTATGCCGAGCATATGCACACATAACAGAGATGGCGCCCAATATTCTAAAATAAAGCTTTATTGTACCTGATACCACTGTCAAAAATGGCGACTCAAACATGGCCGTGTTAAACTGTGATATTAGGTTAGTAACTCTGTGCAGTAACATCGACGCACACAGCCATAGAATGCTAGTAGATTTTAAATAGACAAAAGAAAATGTTTTTGACAAATAATATTCTGTGATATTAGTATGCATCCGAACTTTAGAGAGATGGGTTACGAAGTGCGATATTACTATATCAAATATATTATGGGAACGTTTTCTCCACTGTTCTAAGTAGGGTGTAATCAATAGCTTGTAATTCCGAGCTGGAATAAAACAATTTGTATTGAGAATCCTACTGTTAAAATTTGTTTTTGTGAAATAACCCAAATAAATTATAGACAGGAATAAGTACATCGAGTAGCAGCAATAGCGATTTTGATCTGAGAGATGCAAAAATCTTAGTATTGCATATAAAAACCCTGAGCTTTCATTTATGAAATGTAATAGATATGTCAGGGGTCCGAAGTTAACAAAGCACTATAATTTATTAGAAGAATAAGAATGTCTAAGGGAAGAGTCATACACCTCATAAAGGGCACTAAAATTATTAAAAAAAAAATAATAATAATAATAAAAAAATAAATAAATAAAAAAAAACCACACACACACTGCTTCTGAAAATTACACTTCCCCCGTAGATCTATGTTGTAATTGTCAAATTTGAAAATTTGTATGTGTAATTGTAATCGAATGTATTTATAAAAGTATTTGTTTTGCCGATGTTTCATATTTGAAAAAAAGGTTAACTGAATTTAAAACTTACTTACAAGAAAAGGTTTCGTCCGAGATTCAATTGATAGCAAATGAGAAGATAAATTTTGGGTATAGGTCATGATCTACAATACCCGCAATAGTAAAAGAAATAAGAGAGGCAGACCCGAAAATTTTGACCTAAACCGATCGACTTATTTTCCAGAGCAGAGTAAGCAAAGACGAATAGGGTCGGACGAAATGGCGAATGAGGATAGGAATATGAGTGCTTTGCAATTTATCGATCTAGCAGACACGATAATGCTAAGAGATCAGAACACCAATCATGTGCCAACAGTGAGTGATAATTTGAATAATAATGGTCCAACTACTTCCGACTTACATGGACTGGTACAAGATGAAGCAGCGTCTGTCCAGAAGTCATTGGAAGATAAAGTTAAAAAAATGGTCGAAACAGAAATATCTGATGTAAAGAAAATGATAGATTCTTTATCAAAAGGCATGAGAGAACTATCCGACACTGTGCGTAAACAATTAATTGTACCCCCATCGGCTACAGTAGCCTCTAATTCTATTACAAATAGTAATGCTAATCCGACGTCAAACAATAATAATGACGCAGTAAATAGGAATATGCCACCAATTATCCAATTTCCGAGTGCTAGTCAAACTCCATTATCAGATCAATTTACTGGCCCGATAACGAATACGTTTAGAGTGGAACCACTAGGAATACGAGTTGATAAACTTGGTTTAAATTTCAGTGGTGACCCGAAAGGCTTAAGAGTTATGGATTTTATTAAGCGGTTAGAGATCATGCAGGCTCAATATAACATTCCATGGTCTGAAGTGTTGAGGGATTTCGCCTTTCTGGTTTCTGGTCAAGCCAGAGAATGGTATTGGCTGCATAGACAAAGTAATGTTTACACCGATTGGATGGGTCTTAAAGAAGCGCTGATAAGCCAGTAT